ATGTGTGGAATAACAAGGGAAGATAAGTTTAGGCATGAGTACAGAAGAGGGGTGACAAAGGTGGTAATATCAAAGAAAATGCATGTAGGGAGACTGATGTATATATATATATATATATATATATATATATATATATATATATATATATATATATATGTATGTATATATATACATTTATATATATATATATATAATATATATATATATATATATATATATATATATATATATATATATATATATATATATATATGTATGTATGGATGCATGCATGTATGAATATACCTGTAAAAGAAATTTTAAAAAACAACTGTCAAGGGAAAAATATCGCGCAATTTAGGAGTAACTATAAGATAAGAAACCTCAATGAAAGTAACACAGAAAACCTAAGAGAATGTCCCTGGACATCATAGAAAACGTACCTGATTTTCGTGCCCAGCTACTGTATTTTTGCATGAGAATCAATAACAATCCATGAAGATCGACACAAAATTCGAGATTTTTTTCTCTTAATAATTCCGAAACTCAACGTCAGTATTGGATACTAATTCAAGGGGTGAATGAAACATTTCATACTAATCTTACTTCTCTTGGGAATTCTACGTCGTTGTATGAATCAAGAGGATTAATTGATAAACGCCTGTGGACTGCCCCTTAAATAGGTTTCAGATCCAATTGTCTAAAACCAATAGATTATCTGATGTCATAAACTGATCCATCCCCCTATCCTTTATTTGATCGCTCTGTCTTCGCGAAGCCAAGGAATTCTGGGCCATCTGCATTCTTTGTGTCTTTCGTAATTTGCATTTCCTTCTTTCACCTTCTTTTTTTTTACCCTCTTTGGTTAAGAATCTGTGCCCACTTCCTGGCCTCGTAAAATGGACGATGATATCAATGATTAGCTTTTGTCGGCCTTGGTAGATTTCCGACATAGTTAATTTTCTCACAGTCAAAACTGAGCATAATAAATAAATAAATAAATAAAACATTCCGAATGGGAAAGAATAGCTTCATACATACATGGTTCGTTTTGATGTACATCTACGTCAGAAGTGCATACTCTATGGTTACGAAACATATGAAGCCGAATGTAACTAAGGAGCAATTTTAAGCAACTCAAATATAAGCTTGAAGTGGTACTCATGCAACGGATAGAAATATAGAAATTTAATTTACCATTTTGTTTACATAATTCTTTCTAACTACCTAGCTTGATCTGTGGCGACGAACATCCGTAAGATAGTCGCTGAACCTGCTACAGAATCCACGTCCTGTTTCACCATTATAAACTTTACCCAAACTAGCTTCACCGAAAGCCGTTTCGAAATTCTCCTGGGAACGAAACTCGGGAAGATTTCGAAGCAGTTGCCTCATCTTTCAGGGAAGCACTGTATTAACACGTAAAGAGTTGTTTCGTCATTCACAATAAGCTTCGTCACACCTATTACATAGTTAACTGAAGTTACATAAAGACAGATAATCATTTCTCACCACATCTATTCTTGTACCAGTATACATTTGCGTCTGCGTAATACCACAATGGTTTGAGGTTAAATCGGGAGCTTTGTTGGCGGAAGGAACTGCTGTAATCCTTGCGATAGTGACCTCCTCATTATCATTTTTTTATTAATTTATTTTGTTTAAGATAAGGGAATCAAATTCATCAGAATACTGTTGACTACTAGAGAGCCTTCAACCCTACCATTTAACAATTGTAGGACTACATAATTACGCTTCTGTAGACGCCTTAAGACTTTTTTTGTTTCCTTGATTCTGTATTTTCCTTCAGTTCATATATACAAATTCCCAGTCAAAAATTGGGAACTATTGTTTACCTCAATCTCTTAAAGATATCGTTGTTGTCGTTCTTCTTATCATCATCATCGTTATCATTAATATCATTATGGTGATGTGATGATGATGATGATGATGATGGTTATTATTATTTAGATTATTACCATTATTATTAGCATCTCCATTATCATCAATATTACTGATATGGACATTATCCTCATCCTTATCAGTATTGTTGTCATTTTTCATCTACCATCCCCTTATAATTGTTCCTTCTTCCTCTTCTTCTGTTAATTCTAATACTTCATTTGATCTAACCACCCTTAGTCCTTAACCCTTCCTCTATTCATCCATACCTATCCTACCCTATCTACCCCCTCCTTCTACTCAATTAACTACTATAATATCGTACAATAAATGACCGTTGAAATAGGACATTTTAACTCTAACAAAGAACTTAAAAAAAACCTTCCACCACAATACAATACCATAGTGCTATATGACCTCTGATGTCTAGCATATTTATTTCCTCCTTATTACTTACTCAATTTGCCTCATTACCTATCTTACCCTACTTTACCCCCCCCGCCCTGCCCCAACCCCTCCCCGTTGCTTCCACACCCCAGACACGCGCTCTGTTGACATGGCTCTGAAAAGGAGTAATGTTTGTGGTGTTGGTTTCGGGGTTGCAAGGCCTTGGAAATGA